TCCTCCTCCTCGTCCTCCTCCTCCTTGTCCTCACACTCGTCCTCCTCCTCCTCTTCTTCTTCTTCAAAATTTTCGTCTTGTTATTATTATGAATATGCGTCGCATTCTTATGCGTATTATGATTGTTCTCCTCCTCCACGTCCTCCTCGTCCTCCTCGTCCTCCTCCTCCTCCTCATCCTCCGCCTCCTCCTCCTCCTCCTCCTCCCCCTCCTCCTCCTCCTCCTCCTCCTCCTCCTCCTCCTCCTTCTCCTCCACCGCCTCCTCCTCCTCCACCTCCTTGTCCTCCTTCTCCCTTCTCCTCCTCTCCTCATCGTCCATCCATCATCTCATCATCATCATCATCATCATCATCATCATCATCATCATCATCATCAAAATCATCATCATCATCATCATCATCATCATCATCATCATCATCATCATCATCATCATCATCATCATCATCATCATTATCAGCATCACCAGCATCAGCATCAGCATCGTCATCATCAGCAGCAGCATAATCGTCAACGGCAGCATCATCGTCACCATCATCATCAGCAGCAGCATCGTCATCATCCTCGTCAGCATTAGCATCATAAGCATCATCAGCATCAGCAGCATCATTATCAGTGGCAGCAGCAGCATCAAGAGCAGCATCAGCAGCGGCAGCAACGTCATCACCATCATCGTCAGCATCAGCATCGTCATCATCAGCAGCATCAGCATCAGCATCATCAGCAGCATCATCATCAGCATTAGCATCATCATCATACTCAGCACCATCATCATCGTCATCATCCTCAGCATCAGCAGCATCATCCTGGCCATCATCGCCATCACCACCAGCATCATCAACAGCATCACCACTCACCACCATCATCATCATGATCATCAGCAGCATCATCATCATCAGCATCATCACCATCAGCATCATTAACATCAGCATCATCAGCAGCAGCATCGTCAGCATAATCATCATCAACATCGTCAGAAGTAGCATTAGCCGCATCATCGTCAGCATCAACAGCACCATCGTCATCAGCAGCATCATCAGAAGCATCATCATCATCATCATCATCATCATCATCATCAGCATCATCATCATCAGCATCATCAGCGTCATCAGCATGATCGTCACCATCAGCATCAGCAACAGCCTCGACAGCATCAGCAGAATCATCAGCATCATCATGCTCATCATCATCAGCAGCAGAAGCATCAGCCTCATCAGCATCGTCAGCATCATCAGCATCATCAGCATGAACAGCATCAGCAGCAACGTCATCTTCATCATCGGCATCGTCATCATCATCATCATCAGCAGCAGCATCAGCATCATAAGCATCATCATCAGTCTCAGCAGCATTACCACCAGCATCATCATCAGCTGCAGCAACATCATCACAACCACCACCACCACCACCACTAGCATCATCATCATCATCTGCAGCAGCATTATCAATACCATCATTCTCATCCGCATCATCAGCGTCATCACCATCGACAGCACCATCATTATCAGAATCAGCATCATCATCATCCTCATCATCAGCATCATCATCACCTTCATCGTCATCACCATCATCATCATCATCAGCATCATCATCCTCATCCTCATCCTCATCCTCATCCTCATCATCATCATCATCATCATCATCATCATCATCATCATCATCATCATCATCATCATCATCATCATCATTCACCTCTTCCTCATCCACCACCTCCTCCTCCTCCTCCTCCACCTCCGCCTATGCCGCCGCCTCCGCCTGCTCCTCCCCCTCCCTCGCCTCCCCCCTCCTCTCCTCCTCCTCATGCTCCTCCTGCTCCTCCTCCCTCCTCCTCCTCCTCCTCCTCTCCTCCTCCTCCTCCTCCTCCTCCTCCTCCTCCTCTCCTCCTCCTCCTCCTCCTCCTCTCCTCCTCCTCCTCCTCCTCCTCCTCCTCCTCCTCCTCCTCCTCCTCCTCCTCCTCCTCCTCCTCCTCCTCCTCCTCTTGCTCCTCCTCCTCCCCCCCTCCTCATCCTCCTCCACCTCCTCCTCCTCCTCCTCCTCCTTCCTCCTCCCTCCTCTCTCCTCCTCCCCCTCCTCCTCCTCCTCCTCCTCCTCCTCCTCCTCCTCCTCATTCCTCCTCCTTCCTCCTTCCTCCTCCTCCTCCTCTCCTTCATCTCCTCCTCCTCCTCCACCTCCTCTCCTTTCCCCCCACCCCTCGCTCGCCAGCTCCTTTTCTCGGGCCCTTAAGCCCGTGACCCCTTGACCCTTAAACCAATAAACCCTTGAGCCGGTAAACCCTTAAACACATTAAACCCCTTAAGCACTTAAACCCATCAACCCTGAAGACTGGGAGCCTTTAAGCCCTTAAGCCGGTAAACCCTTACATGCTTTAGACCTTATGCCCTTAAATCCCTTACGCCCTTGAAACCCGTAAGCCCTTGAATACAGTAAGCCGTACCTTAACCCCTTCAGCCCCTGCACATGTAAGCCTTCAGACTCTTCAACCTTTAAACCCTTTTAACTTGTAAACCCTTAGACATTGAGTTCTTTGAACCCTCAAGCCCTTCAACTATTAATCCCTTAAACCCTTGAACCGTCTAAGCCCTTTAACACATAAACGCCCAAACCATTTGACCCCCTTAAACCCTCAAGCCCTTGAACCCTTTAAACCATTCAGCCTTCAAACACCTAGACCTTGGAATGAACTCTTCAACCCTTGAGCCCTTGAACCGTTAATCCCTTACCCCTTCAAACACTGAAACCCTCGAACTCTTAGACCCTTGAGCCCTTACACCCTTAAGCCCTTAAGCCCTGAGACCCTTAAACCCTGAACCCTTACAATAACATCCCTGGACAAACTTGGCATATGTTCTAACCCGGGCAATCATGTTAGCTTCTGGCATGCACGTGCACACATGAGCAGACCATTTGGAAGTGGGATAGACTAGCACCGCCTCACAGCTAGTATAATCACACAGTGAGGTTTCCTGGCCGCTTGGGACGAATACCAACTTGTCATCTCGAACTGGCTTCGGAAAAATACCCGCTGGTTGGGACTTGTCCGAGTCGGTGGGAATGAGCCCCGGATGCGGGAGTGCGAGACCCCCCCCCCCCCCCGCCTCCCTCGGGGAGCGGGCCCCCCCTCTGCCGCTCGCCCCCGCTCCTCCTCGGCGCCGTGGCCGGCCCCCGGGGACCTCGGCTTGCAGTGGTCGGCTCGGTGCGCAGCACCTGCAAAACTGCACAGACACAGACTTTTGGAGCTCCGCGCGGATTTCTTGCATGGGCGCTGGGACCCCCAAGCGGCGCCTCCGGCGCCGCCCCTGGCGCACTCCGCGCGCCAGGGGGGGGGGCAAGAAATCCGCGCAGAGCTCCAAGAGGTTATGTTGATGCAGGCTTTCCGACACTTGCAGGGCGGCTGCAACCCAACTGCGGGGCACCTGCACGTGGGCTCAGCCTGACCGCTCCGAGTCGGAGTGGGCCACAGACACAACTTGGAGCAGCTGGGCGGACTTGCAACCCACTTGCAGGTGCGCGGGGCTCCAACCACCTGCAGCCACAGCGATCCCTACAGCAGGAGCTCGACCACAAGAAATCCAATCCTGATACCCCAGGATGTCCATGGATGTCTGCCGCGGGAACGTCACGCCTTCCGCAGCAAAACAATGCAAACCCAAGAAACCCAGGGCACCCTGGAGGCAAGCAGGGTGTTTCTTGGCATGGGCTGAAGTCGGGCATGTCCCTCTACAAAAAGGAAGAATCAAAAATAGTCAAACAATAGTGCCGGGACGTCTTTTTTCACTCTCTTTGACCATGTTTCAAATATTGTCTGACTACGTTTTATCTGTCGTCCAAAATCCGCCAGTAGGAGGACATGCCCGACCTAAGCATGGATCCCCACTGTGCAGGACCACGTCCCCCGGGCCCGCTCTGGACGGCCCCAAAAAGGGCTGGAACCGGCCTGAGGAGGCCGAGCGCCGACGAGAAGAAAAAGGCCGCCGGACCCGAGGGTTGGGTCTGGCATGTCATCCTACACCCTGCGATATGCTTAAGAAATCATGGGTTCAGAAATTCATAGTCTCAGAATTTGAATAACAACCAAGAACTTCTATTAGCATCTTGGGATTTACATTGAAACGTTAAGATTAATCGAGACTCTGGACGAAAACATAGGTTTTCTTAAGCATCGCCTAGAGTGTACAGGCGGATGTTGGAAGAAACCTGAAAAACAGTCAAACAGATTCCAAAACGAATCAAACAAAATCTAAAAATCGTCCCCAAACTATTTTTGGACTGCTCTTGAAAATTCCTCCAATAGAGTCTGTCGGGCCTGTCCCCCTACAGGGGGGTTTTCGACTGGGAAAAAAATACTCCAAAAATACCCCCAAAAGGTCAAAAAATGTTAAAAAATGTTCAAAAAATAGTCCCCAGACAATTTTTGGACTACTTTTTAATTATTTTTGAGTATTTCTTACTTTTCGTAGAAAATCCCCGTTGGGGACAGGCCCGACCTAACAGTAGAGGAACATCCCCGACTTGAGCCGAGGGTCCTCTCTCGCCCCCTGCCGCGCGCAGCCGACCTCCACATTTCCCCCCCCCCCCCCCCCGCGGCCGCCCGGCCCAGCGGCGGGAGCACCCGTCCACGAGGGCTCGGGGAACAAAACACTCCAAAAATACACCAAAAAGGTCAAAAGTGCGAAAACAAATAATCCCCAGACTATTTATGGACTAATGTTTGATTATGTTTGGCGTATGTTTTCCAATTCGTCGAAAATCCCCCTGTATGGGGGACAGGCCCGACTTAAGGCTCGGGGAACAAATCATGGCATGAAAACAATCTGCGGGAGGTCCGCGAGTCCGTGCAGACGTCTTCGATCGGCGCTGGGCCCCCCCTCGAGCGGCGCGCAGAGCCGGGGGCGGCGCCGGAGGCACCGCCGGGGAGGTCCGGGCGCGGACCTCCGGCAAACGCATGTTCCTGCCACTGCTCGTTCCCCAAAGGGCCCCCCACAACGCATGCCCTCCCCTCCCTCCCCCGGGCTCGGTGCTACCGGAGCGCCTCCGCTCGGCGACGAAGGACATCGCCTGCGTACTGATACAAGCGGAGATCCTCACGGGGCGCGAGCGAAAAGGCGTTGTCTGCTTCCGTCTTGCCTTCATTTTCCAGCGTTCTGGCGGTCGTTCCGCCTGTGCTGCAGAACGGGATCAAAACGAAAGCCGTCCACGAAGTCGCCAAAACACCGCTTGGCTCGCGCCCTGTCCTCAATGGTGTGGCAACTTTGCGCCAGAGACAAAAAAAATGGTGCGAAGCGCCCCGCTGGGAGCGGGTGGGGAGGCTGCGGAGGGGGGAAGGATGGAACAGGTGGCAGCGAACAGGACGACGACGACGACGACGACGACGACGGCGACGACGACGACGACGACGACGACGACGACGACGACGACGACGATCGAGGATCGAGGATCGAGGATCGAGGATCGAGGATCGAGGAGGAGGAGGAGGAGGAGGAGGAAAAGAAGGAGGAAAAGGATAAGGAAAAGGAGGAGGAAAAGGAGCAGGAAAAGGAGGAGGAGGAAAAGAAGGAGGAAGGTCGCAGAGGAGGGATCGAAGGAGGACGAGGAGAAGGGTCTCCGAGGGGTGGGGGGGGGCGAGGAGACGCTGCAGCGGCAGATTTGCTGTGGCCCATCGAGAAGCCTTCGGGGCAGGAAGAAGGGAGACGGGGTTAGGTCGGGCATGTCCTCCTACAGGCGGATTTTGGAGGATGAATGAAAAATCGGAGGCTGGGGGGTGAGAACGGAAGTGACCCCAACCGGGAAATCGGCTTCGGTTTCGGTTCGTGTCGTGGGTGCGGGCGAGGCGAAGCTGCGCGAGTTCCATCCCCAATAGAGACCATCTATTGCCAGAAGGGCCGCCCCCCGTGCGCCGGGCGTGACCCGCGGTTATCCCGACGGTTGTCCCGGCGGTTGTCCCGATGGTTGGGGTTGTCCCGATAGTTGTCCCGATGGTTGGCCCGATGGTTGTCCCGATGATTGCCCCGATGGTTGTCCCGATGGTTGTCCTGGTGGCTGTCCTCATGGTTGTCCCGATGGTTGTCCCGATGGTTGTCCCGATGCTTGTCCTGATGGTTTCCCTGATGGCTCATAATTCATAGATAGATAGATAGATAGATAGATAGATAGATAGATCGATAGATGGCAATCCCGATGGTTGCGGTCGTTCCGATGGTTGTCCCGATGATTGCCCCGATGGTTGCCCCGATGGTTGTCCCGATGGTTGTCCTGATGATTACCCCGATGGTTGTCCCGCTGGTTGGACGCACGCTACATAGAGATAGAGAAGATAGAAAGATACAGCGCTAGTGGGTAATATAAAGCTAGATTTAATGAAAAATGCCACATGGACAATTAGATAGATAGATGGGCAGATGTGCGCGACCATCGGAGAATTGTAGAAACCACCAAAGAACCCAGAGCCAGCGCGAATCGACCGCCTCCCCATCCCCCCCCAAACCTCCTTATCACCCCTAGGGTGGTCCTATCGGTATGGAGAAAATGCTCAAAAATAGTCAAAATAGTAAAAAAGTCGTCCCCTGACGATGTTTCTCCAAATAGGCTTGCCCTATAGGAGTCCTGGCTCAAACCCTACTAATTGGTCCGTTGCCCCCCCCCCACCCCACCCACCCACCCTAATTCCATCCCCCCCCTAATTCCTATGGCTATACCTATGCCTATGCCTATGCCTATGCCTCCCCCCTAACTCCATGCCTATGCCTATGCCTATGCCTGCTTGCTTGCTTGAAGGCTTGCTTGCTTGCTTGCGCGCTTGCGCGCTTCTTGCGCGCTTGCTTGCGCGCTTGCAAGCTTGAAAGCTTGCTTGCGTGCGCGCTTGCTTGCACGCTTGCTTGCTTGCTGAGTTGCGGATTCCAAGCATACGTGCTTCCTCTGATTCCTTGATTTGAGTCGTCGAATATATTTGGAGTCAGCGCTGCGCTGGCTGAGATTTACTCTTCTTGAATTCTCCTCTTGTAGAAGGACATGCCCGACATATAAAGACAAGGGATGGAAGAAGAAGGAAGGCTTCAGGGGGAGGGGGGAGGGGCGGGAGAGAGGAGGGACGGCCAAGGCGGGCGTGGGGAGGCTGATGGAGTGGAGGGAGAGAAGGGAGGAGGAGAGGAGGAGGAGAGGAGGGAGGAGGGGAGGAGGAGAGAGGAAGGGGGGGAGGAGGAAGAGGAGGAGGAGGAGGAGAAAGAGGAGGAGGGCGGAGAGGGGAGAGGTCAGATGCGTGCCCTTTGAGCATGCCGATGGCGAGATCACGCTCCAACGGTGGCGCACGCACGGACAGGGGAGAGGGGGACGAGGCGTGCGAGGTGGCATGGGGGGGGCTGTTTCAGGAACGCGGAATGCCGACACAGGCTGACACGATGGACACGAAATAAATAACCAACAACCAGAACGGCTCAGCGAGGCACGATATGGATAACCAACAATCAAAACGGCTCAGCGCGTTAAACACATGGGATACCACGTGTGGAGCACTGCCGAGCACCCCTGACACAGTATATACATACCGTCTGTTGGACACAGCGCGCGCGCCGCTGGAAACCCGAGGGCACCGCTGGGCCAGAGGAATAAGAGGAACAAAAAACGCCGTAAACATAAACTGTTGGCGTTCCGCGCGGACTTCATGGATCTGCGCTGGACCCCCCTCCCTGGCGCGCGGAGCGCGCCAGGGGCGGCGCCGGAGGCGCCGCCGGGGGGGCCCAGCGCGGATCCAAGAAGTCCGCGCGAAGCGCTGTATGTTTGTGTTGCGCTTTTTCGTCTTCGAAGGAAGGTACGGGGCACAAACAGATACACCACCACCACCACCACCACCACCACCTCCCCCACCTCCCCCACCCACGCCCTCTACCAGGAAAGAGGAGAGGACGAGGAGGGTAGAGGAAGGGAAGAGGAATCGACGTGGTGGTGGTGTATGTTCCCAGACATCCGACGTCTCGATTTCTTCGAGGCACGGGCCTCCGACCTCCCGACCACTTCCCCAGGACCGGCTCTTCCTCCCGAGTCGTTTTTGATGGCCCCGAGGCCCGGCGAGGGCCACGAGAGGCCAAAAACTGCGAAAAACGCCGCCTCGATTCGTTCGAGACGCCCGCTGTCTGACTACCTACCAGACCACCCCAACCCAACCCGAAGATCCGAATTTCGGGTTGGGGGGGGTAAGGGTTCCACATGTGTTTTTTCAATGTTTCCCGACCCCCCCCCCACTAGAAATCGAGGGTAAATTTGAGCCTTCGGGTTGGGTTGGGGTGGTTTGGTGGGTGGTGACTGTCTGGGTTCCTGGCGCCCGCAGCGGACAGCGCGTCCGACGCTCCGAGCAGGCGCCCCCGGCGGCGGCGGCCGGAGGAGGAGGAGGAGGAGGAGGAGGAGCAGGAGGCGAAGGAGGAGGGGCAGGAGCAGGAGGGGCAGGAGCAGGAGGAGGAGCAGGAGGAGGAGTAGCAGGAGGAGGGAGGGAGGAGGAGGAGGAGGAGGAGGAGGAGGAGGAGGAGGAGGAGGAGGACGAGGAGGAGGAGAAGGAGGAGGACGACGACGACGAGGAGGAGGAGGTGGAGGAGGAGGAGGATGGGCCCTCTGGGCCCCGAGGGCATGTCCCTCTACAGGAGGAATGCTCGAAAATATGGGGACGTTGATTCTGACTATGTCTGATTACCTTTCAAGATGTTTTGATAACTGCTACTTTTCCCCCTGAAAATATCCGCCTGTCGGATGCCATGCCCGACCCAACCCCAGAGAGACGTTGTTTCTTGATGGGCCCTCCTGGGGCCCGAGGGCGCGCCCCGCCCGGCCGAGAGGATTCCATCGACTGGATCTAAGAATTTCCTTCACGGTTCCTCGGCGGGGCGCCCTTTCAACAACTTTTGGAAATTCTAGTATGTCCCGGTTCCCCGCCTTCCCAGCCCCACAACCAACCCACCCACCCCCCCAGACCCCCAAAGGCGCGACGACCGTTTCGTATCTCCTCGCCTCCTTCCGCCTCCTCCTCCTCCTCCTCCCTCCTCACTCCTCCTCCTCCTCTCTCCTCTCCTCCTTCCCTCCTCCTCCTCTCCTCCTTCTTCTCTCCTCCTCGCTCCCTCCTCCTCCTCCTCCTCCTCCTCCTCCTCCTCCTCCTCCTCTGTTCTTCGGAGGAACCCCTCGAGCGCCGAGGGCGTCCCCCCGCCGCTCGCGGTGGAGGTCGCCGCTGGCGCGCCGGCCGACCCCGAGGCCGGACTCTTCGGCGCGCGAAACCGCCCGCGGGGCGGCTTCCGCAGCCACAGGCGACAGAGCGCTCGCGCTGCCCCAGCGGCTCGAAGAAGTCGAGGCGGCCGACTCCCTGAGAGGCCTCCCCCAAGACCCGGACGCTGCAGCTTTCGTCACAAGGGGCGTTTTGCGCCTGGAAATTCGGGCCCCAGGGACCCTCACAGCTCGGTCCGACTCGGAGGGTGGGGCAGAAAGATGAGGAGGAGGAGGAGGAGGAGGAGGAGGAGGAGGAGTGGGCAGGAGGAGGAGGAGGAGGAGGAGGAGGAGGAGGAGGAGGAGGGGGAGGAGGAGGAGGAGGGGGGGGTCTGGGGCTCCGGTCGTGATGTCTCACTATGCTTGATTGTCGTTCGCGCCGCGGCAGGGTCGAGGCGGCCGACTCCCTACTGCAGGGAGCTCGAGATTTTTGTTCCCCGGCGACGACCAGAGTTGTTTTGTGTGGGAGGGAGGGGTTAGCCGTGGCCGAGTCGTTTAGCGTCGGGCCGCCCCACGTATTGACTACCTACCAGACCACCCCAACCCAACCCGAAGACCCGAATTTGACCCGAATTTCGGGTTGGGGGGGGTACGGATACCACGTGTTTTCTCAACGTTCCCCGACCCCCCCCCACTGGAAATCGAGGATAAATTTGGGCCTTCGGGTTGGGTTGGGGTGGTTTGGTGGGTGGTGACGTATGCCCGCGCGCACCTGCTCCCGCGCACCCCCTTTCGGACCTGCGCAACCGACGACGTCAGGTTCTCCGGGGTGAAAGGGGGCGCCGGGGCCCGACGATTGGAGGCCTGGACATGGGCACCAACACCAACACAGGGGATTGCCTCCACAGGGGGAAGATGATCCTAGATTTCGGTGTTGGTGGCAAGATTTCGGCCACCCTGGAAGCCAGAATATTACCACCATCACCGAGATCGGCATCGTCCTCCCTCGGTGGAGGCACGCCGCCGATCTTGGTGTTGGTGTCAACCTCTAGGCCTGCGAGATAACCCCTATGTTCGCGGGGCCCTAGGAAACAGTCTCTAAGAGGCCTCCCCAGTGCGCCCAGACCAGTCAGCATCGAATCGGGACATCGAGTCGGATCGGACTGGGCGCCGGATCGGGCTGCACCGGCAGGGAACGGAAATCTGACCGGATCAGCTGCGCCAGGATGCACAAGCCGATCGCAATGGACCCTGATTGAGGTCGAAGCCGATGAGGTCGAAGGATCGCCCCGCACCGTCGGCGCAGCACCGATGCATCGGCTATGCATCGGCGACGTCGGCGATGCCTCGGCGACGACGGCGCGGAGAAAATCGAGCTCCGCATCGAGCCGCATCGCCGATGTATCGGCGATGCGCAATCCTCGGACACCACGTCGAAGGATGCACCGGCGATGCCCGATAAGGATGCAAGGCCATTGGACGCCTATGTCGAAGCCTTTCGAGCGGGGCTGGTCATCGAAAGTGGGTAAGGATGGCCCAAAGAAGCAAGCATGCAAGTTGTACACTTGAGGTTACCCGTCCTTAGAGGAAGGAAAAAACGCCATCAACATAGACTTTGGGCGCTCCGCCCGGATTTCTTTGGATCTGCGCTGGACCCCCCTCCCTGCAGCGCGAGGAGCGCACCGGGGGGCCCCAGGCGCAGATCCATCAAGTCCGCGCGGAGCTCCGAAAGCTTCATTCTGTCTATGCACACTTTTTCTTCTTCGAACCCTTACCACCGGTTTTCACTGCACTCCGACCCCATCTGGGAGGCCCAGGTTCCCAGGACCCCGCCTCCCGGACCTCCCGCGAGCTGCTCGTTCGCTGGGCGCGGTCGCTCTCCTCGATACGTCGGCCCCCCCCAGGGCCCGCTGTCGAGCCACATCGAGAGAGGAGGCACGGCGAAAGACGGAGCTGGCTCCGGGGAGGGGAGAGCATGCGACGCATGGAGTGAAGTCAACGATACGATGAACGAGGAGGCGATGCTGCCTCTTTTGATTTTGAGCCAGCTATGATGCCCATTCGGGCCCACCTCGTCCCGCCTTCAGGGACTTCGCAGCCCCCTGACGGGAAGACGGGCCGCCACCCAGAAATTCACATCATAGGATGTCTGGGCTCACGTCGTGAAGAAACACGGCGGGAGGCTTCTGGCGGTTTTCGGCCCCTGGGAGCCCCTGTACCCTGCCCCGGGGCCGTCAAAGACGACTCGGGCTGAAAGACTGGTCAAGGGGAAGGGATCGAGATCCCCCCCCTGAGATCCCACATCGCGAAAACAAAATTGCAAATTTTGCCACATCACGACCAGAGCACTAGGCCACACCGTTTTGCGGCAGTTCTCGAGCTGGACAGACCTGACGGGGCCCAGGGGCGCACATCTGGACGAAAACGCCTTGTGCTATTAACAAAGACAAAGAACAAAAAACAAAACAAACAAAAACACGCTACGCCAGGATCTCAGGGTATGGGAGCCGCGTTGTGGAACATCCGGGGTCGAGGAAGCAGAAAGTACATCAGCGTGAGCTTTGGGAGGTGCGCGCAAATTTCTTGCATTGGCGCTGGGCCCCCCTCACTGGCCCGCGGAGCGCGCCAGGGGCGGCGCCGGAGGCGCCGCCAGGGGGGGGTCCCGCACCGATCTCTAAGAACTTCGCGCGACGCTCCGAAAGCTTCCTGTGTATGCCGCTGCGTGCTCCTCTCAACGTGCGCACGAGAGTTGACTGCCTGCCAGACCACCCCAACCCCACCCGAAGACCCGAATTTCGGGTCGGGGGGGTACGGGTTCCATACGAATGTTTTCAGTGTTCCCCGACCCCCCCCCCCACACTGGAAATGGAGGGCAAAGTGAGGCCTTCGGGTTGGGCTGGGGTGGCTTGGTGGGCAATGCAGAGTGGCCCTTCGTCGTGGGAGTGGCCTCTGATGCGGGCCCGTGGGCTCGCGCACACTGCGGCGGCAGCGGCTCGCGCGCGCGCCTGGGCTCCTGGCCTCCCCCCGCGCCTAAGCCCGACGGCCTCGCACCCGAGGGGATCGCCCGCTCGCCCATAGGGCCCCCGACGTTGTCGCACGCCTTCCCAGGACGCACCTGCTCTCTGTTCCGCGCGGGCTCCTCCCCTGCAGCAGGGCTCTTCGGCTCCTCCCAAAGGGCCTTGCGCTGTCCAGGGGGGGAGGGGAGAAAGCCCTCACTCCTAGCCGCAGCGAGGAGTCATCGCTCCTTGCCTCCACGTTCCAGGGACGCTCCGTGGGGCGATTTCGCTCGGCAGCGCTCGGATGCCTTCTCTGTTCTTCGACACGGGCCCGTGCCTCGAGAAGATCGAGCCGCCGAGGATTGCGGGCCCGGGCGGGCGGCGCGAGGGACCTAGCGGAGCATGCACGGGCGCGGCTCACTGCGACTCCTTCCAGAACTGGAGGCAGTGGTCGTGGGAGGCGGAGACCTGCACGGGGGGCGGGGGCCTATGCTCACCACAGCGCCACATGTCTGGCAGAGAGCCATGCTGGGCCCCTCCTCCTCCTCCCTCCTCCTCCTCCTCCTCCTCCTCCTC